TGTCGCGCAGCCTACATCGCCTACAAAGCTCTCTACAGTATTTTCACGTAAGTAACCCGCGATTTTTAATTAATTTACTATGTCTAACGATAGTTATTATAGAAACATTTTGAGTATGTTTTAAACTTATAGCCATTACGTTCTTGGTACTTAACAATTCAAGTGTCAAGAACATAATGACTATATGTTTTAACCTTGCTCTTTTTAACGAAACTACACATTCGATAGAGATGAGCCAGCACTCTCTGTTGACCTAAATCTTTTAACTATCGTCTCGTACCGCCTACCAAGCGAAAATTATGGCAAACCCTCTATAAAAAAGAGACATAATTGATTGTTTCTACCATGTCCATATAACTTTTTTGATTTACTATCTTTAAATCAGTATGTTTTGTTCTAGTATTACGACTGTTTATTTCCTAAGACTTCCGTTACATGATATGTTTTTATCTACATAACTTCCTTGAAAGATGGCGCTGATAGCGTATTGCAGGATCCTGTTGAATTTGCTGTAAAAAATTAAGTGTTTTTCTAATGAGTTGCTCTCTGAAATATACACGTGATTCATACACTGATTCATTTACTCTTTAAGATGTGTGTCTGTTCCGGTAACTAATTAAATGGAAGAATCAGTTTTAATTTTTGAAGTTTTAATATGTCTATGTGTGTTTATAGGTTTGGTGTGTAAAATTTCTATTTCTGCTATAGACTAATCAGTAAATGAATGGGTTTATGGCATAAGTCGATAAACGAACAGACGGATTACCTGATGTAAAGCAATCGGCGCCGCCCATGATTACCTGGAACATCAGAGGCGTTACAAGTGCATTACTGGCTTTTTGGGGATTAAAAGTTTGAGAATTGTTAGGGATCCAGGGACTGGGAAGAATGGGGGAGGGCGGGGGATTAAGCCTCCGGTAACCTTACTCACACAACGAAACACAACGCAAGCGTTGCTTTACGTCGGTTTTCTGTTAAGCGTAAAGCGTGGTGTCGATTTAGTGGAGCCGGCCCATTCATGCCGAAGCGTGGCTCTCCTACACTTGGCTGGTTGGGCCTGGCTGGTTGAGGTTGTTCCTTATCGGTCTTCCGAAAACAAAACCCTCGGGAAAAGTACGTACTAGAGGTATTGACAGATAATCTATTTTTATCACTATCATACACTCTTCGGAATACCGTTTTAGTCTTACAAATTACATGTTCAACATTTTTAACAAACTTGCACATTAAATTTAAGTACCAATTAAAACCCGAAAGATCGCACCAGGAATGTCAACCACAATATAAGCATTTACATTAAATATTTCCCCTCATCATTAAAAATAAAACGAATTCTTGTTTGAAGTGTTAGTTACTCAATCAGCATACATACATAATATATACGTTTCCTAGTCATAATACATGGAATACGACGCTTGGGTAAAATTGATGATCACTATCAGTCATTGTGTCTGTCTGTATGTCCCACGTCCTCAACCGAATCTGCTTATACAAAATTCAATTGTACAAACTTGATAAGGTTCACCTTTTGCGTTTGTTAATTATCATAAATGTAGGTTTTTCCTATGTATAAAGTGTCGGTGCTGGTGTTGTGTTCAGGAGTTGAATTCTGTCTAGGTTTTGAGTAGTATCGACGTCATCAGTTTAAACTGTCAAAGACCAAGCGGTCACCGGTGACCGCAACCTATTGTTCTATAATTGTGTCTGCAAAACCGGTACTCGACGAGTTAATTAACATCTTGTGTCGCCTTTCTTGATTATTTCATTTGTCGAATTCCACGTTAACTGTTGTTTTCATTAGAGTACTGCAGTGTTAGCAAAAAAGAGGAGGAAATAAAATTCCATAGAATGTACATCATTCTCGCTGTCTATAGGGACGTTCTAAAGCAGTGGCATACGCTACGTGGACTGTATTTCTAAGACCTATAAGATATCCTTACATATACTCAACCGTAGGTACATTTAAATCTATGATATGAAAATCTAAAGTCTAAATTTAACCAACTCTTGCACAATTTACGCTTTCAAGAGTCCAACATTCAAATGTCATTGTTTAAAGCTGGCCATAAGGCTCGACTAGCTAATTGCTCAGTCTTGTAGTCTCTCACGGTCTCAGCATTACTAGCCTAACAATAATTTATATTTTTACACGCAATAGATATTTCTAAGCTGATAAAGTCAAATTTTATTGAATCAGGAAACAAAAAACTCGTGGGATACGAATTATGGTTATTAGTGGCTTGTTTCGAAATATTATCTTAATTCTAATTAAAGGTGATATACTAGTTACGTAAAATATAATTCTTTGCCTTCAGTAACTGCTTACATCCTCATCACATTAACTGATTCGTATCTTCTGATGATCTTTTAAAACACCATCGTAACAATGCGATATTGTGTGGAATATTCTTAATTTTATTTTAAAACGTGGAAGTTACCTTTATTTTCTATTAAAGTTACCTGTTTGCCTTATGTTACACGATGCGCGTACATATAGGTATTTATACTACCTTGTTAGCCACCATCTCAGCGTCTTTACTCTAAAAATGAATTCCTCTCTCACTGAAAAAGTAGATAGTTTACTTTTATGCCGATACCATGGGTGTTATTTTACGACACAGGGAATCACAATGTGGGGTTCAGATCCATAAAAAAAATGTAATGTGAAGCTTTTATTCGATCGATAATTTCTTTTTATTTCAACATTTTCATGGCTAAATTCAAATTGGTTCCATAGTTGTAGTGGTTGTAGTTGGTTATTGCATGATATTTTTTTTAAACGTTGCCCCACATTAGTATTATCTCCTGTGTCGTGGGTGCGTTTACAAACATACAAGTTCACATATACAATGACACCCAGACCCGGAACAACAATTTGTGGATCATACCAAGTGTTGTTCCGTGCGGAATAACGATGAAAGGATTTCAATTTCATTTTTTTAAATCATAACTTTTTTTAACAAAGTAAGTTACAATCATGGAATAGGGCGTATACTAGAACTGAGAACAGTCATCGAGATAGACAGTAGAATCCTGTAAAATTTCGGTGACCTAGAGAGATGATTTCCAAACTGCCTGACAAGCATGGGGGTTCTGACAACGCCTTCTTATAACTGTAGGCCTTTTTCCAATAGAGAACATCTTCCAGCTGGTGATGATGATGAGCTACAAGCGGATTATGAAGTCCTTTAAGACCGATTTTTCAAACACAAGATAAATTTTATCGGAGGAATAATTAATTCTTCTATACTAATAACCGTCAACTGTCAATTCTATTTTACAGTTAAGAATATGCAATTTACAATTTTTTGATGGGCCGACGTGACCACTATCTCGCATGGTGGTAAGCGATGATGCAGTCTACGATAGAGCACGTCTACCTACAAGCAACCTATTCTTGAAGACGCCCAGGTCCACTCCTTAGCAGTACGCACAAGGAGGCTTGAGGAGCACACTCACCGAAATATAATATACCTAACTGATGATTGAAAAGTCAGCCCTTATTCCATAATTTGTATATAAAAGTGTCAGTTTTTGAGATTCTGTCAAAAATCGATCGTAATTCACAGATTTTGGACTGAGATAATTTATTAAAATTGCTATCTAGACTTTTTAATGTCCCGTGAGACTCTCAAAGTAGAGCATACATATAATCATAGTAGAAAACTTCACATAATACCTTAATAGGTATAATATAATTGACTGCCTCGTTGGCCGAGTGGTCGCAATTGCGACTGCCGGGCAAGGGTCTCGGGTTTGATTCCCGGGTCGGGCAAAGTATTACTGGGCTTTTTCAAAAAATCTCAGTAGTAGCACGGACTCTGGAATTGTGCCCGGAGGTACATGGGACTCATAACATGAATAATGAAAAGTGGGTGTTATATTGTATAGTGGCATTGAGTGCCGTAATGTACACCTCTGCCTACCCCTTCGGGAATAAAAGGCGTGATGTTATGTTGTTGTTGTATAATACAATTTTGTATTATAGTAAAATATATATTTTAAAACATAAATGCAAGTATTCAGTACCATTCATAGGGTGCTAATATTTTCTATCATAATATTGATATAGTGTCGCACAATTGCAGCTTGCTATAATTTTTTCAATAGGCGTTATTTTACAGCGTGTATTGTAGGTACTGACTCTATTAAAGTATATGTCCAGTAGGCCAGAGTGGACTGCCATGGGTGGTTGATTAGACTCTAATCTTATTATTTCTATTTTACTCTACGAGAAAGAGCCATCAGACCGCCACGGATGGGGCCCAATAGGGCTGATGCAGATACGGAGCCGCGGAAGACTTAACGGGTTACCGGGGCTCCGGCTCGAAGTGTAGAAGTAGGAACGGGGTGGTTTTTAGTCGGTAAGAGTCTGACAATCCCTCCCGCCTCACCCAGGCGGGAGAAGTCAATCGATGATTTTCCCCTCTTAAAAAAAAATATTTCGTAGATCTTTGCATCCTAGTTACGTAGGTATATATCATAGGATTATGTTCCGTCCACTGCTTCGCCCGGGATCCCGTGGGAAAAAATACCCTTTTATTATTCTAGATCATAATCTATCCCTGTTCTAAATTTCATCTCGATTGCTTTAGCCGTTTTGACGTGACTAAGTATGTAACAAACATACACACTCACACAAATTTACAAAGTTTTCATCATCATCATCAACAGCCTATAAATGCCCACTGCTAAGCAAAGCTTCTTCTCACACGGAGAAGAAGGTTTGAGCATTAATCACCACGCTTGCTCAATGCGGGTTGGCAATTAGTCAATTACAAACTTATAATTAGAAATTATAAGCCCAGGTTTCCTCACGATGTTTTCCTTCAACGTTTTTCAGTGGTGTCTGAATAATCTTAGAAAGTATATAGGTATAACTCAGTAAAAGTCACAGTTTTGAGTTTATATAGGTATTAGTAAAATGGTATGCAGAGCTTATATTTTGCTAAAATATTTTGTTACATAAGTAGTAAAAATTAAATAAAACTCCAAACACATAGATATATACAGAATTTTATTATATAAAACTTAAAGCTATGTTAAATCTATCAGTTCGTTAAGGAGCAGCTAATTTAAGACGTAAAGTAGACATACATTTGAGTTTATTGAAATTATTTTTCGAAATGGTAAAAAATATTATTGAAAGAGTATAATAGCTACTCAATAGTAGTCGCTGTGCTATATAGAAATTGTTCTTTAAGAAATCAATGGAGCTACCTTACAGCTAAAATTATTGAGCATCACATTTTAGTTTAGTTAATTATTCTATGTACATATACTTATTCTAATGGTTTGTTTCGGGTTGGTAACTTATGTAGGATTCTATATGAAAATAGTATATTGAAGACATTTTCATATTTTATAAATATAAGAGAAACAATAATAAAGAAACATATATAAAAGTCTTATGACCGTTTTCACAACCTTTCTTAACTTTTAAGGAACCCCTAAGCTAATATAGGTGACATTTAACAACATTTTGGTTTTCATTGATCTGTAAGTGGTACCTAATAGGACAAGTAAGAGGTGAATTTAGATGTTAGGTATCTTTTAGTTAAGATATGGTTTAGGGGTAGTGAAAACAGTCATTAAAGTTTCATTAAACAATAAATCGAAAGTTGATAATTTTAAAAATCAATACAAAACATTAAGATGGCAGTGCTAATCCAAATCCGATAGTAAAAAATACAATTTACAAAACGAAAATATTTAAAATTATTATTGCAACGGTTAATTAATTAGCTAAACCTACATCGACAGTTTAATTATAATGGTAGTAAGTAATTATACAGTTAGAGACCGGAGGTTCCACAGTATTCGCCGATGCGGTCCGAAATACACTCGAATATATCGAAAGAGATGTCGCAGTTACGGCCATTGTCTATAAACATAGAGGGTAATGTTATCATTCTATATACATAGTTACATAAGTAGAGGTATATTAAAATCGTAGGAAAGTAAAAACTGTACATCGAATATTATTTTAAAAGAATGTTTTGGGGGCGTGATCAACAGTCTATACATAACATAACATCACGCCTTTTATCCCCGAAGGGGTAGGCAGAGGTGCACATTATACCACTGTACAATGTAACACCCACTTTTCACTATATATTATTATGTTATGCCCGACCCGGGAATCGAACCCGAGACCCCCCTTACCCAGCAGTCGCACTTGCGACCACTCGGCCAACGAGGCAGTCTATACCAAAACCAAAAATATGTTTTTTTGAATTTTTGTATGTTTTTCTGTATGTATGGGATGAACTCAAAAAGTGCTGCATGGATTTACTTAAAATTTTTCAAATATTATTCCACTTGGACGAAGACGCGGGCTCAGCTAGTCTATATATCTAAATAAATTAAACCCGTTTCCCGTTGTCACGCCATAACTTGAGAATGGCTAGACCGATTTGACCGATTCTTTTTTGTTGTGTTTGTTATTGTCAGGAGAAGGTTCTTATGATAGAAAAAAATCCTGAAAATCTTATGGGAACGGAAGAAAACGGGATTGTGCGTACGAAGTCGCGGGCAGAAGCTAGTAATTATTATATTATATTGTTTTTTTTAATTTTTGTCTTTTGTCTTTGTATGTCCGAGATGAACTCAAAAAGTGCTGCTGGATTTAGTTCAAATTTTGCATGAATATTACTAACAGGTCGTGTCAATATAATAGGCTACATATTATCATGTTATCAACTACGGGGGTGGAGCTGTGAATCACTATTCCTCGCGGACGACGTCGCGGGCTCAGATAGTTTAGTAATAAAACAGTCAAGTGGCAATCGTAGAGTTAAATACATTTGTCACTTCTTATTTTACACATCCCGGATGGGTGTCGTATAATTCGAAATAATTTTTTGTATAAAACCTGAATGTAATTTTAAAAACTTGACTGCATCTTTGGCTGCCATTCTGCATTCTCTCTTCGATTCCCAGTTCGGGCAAAGTATTATTGATTTTTTTTTTAATTCTCAGTAGTTGCACGGAGTCTGGAAATGTGCCCGGTATATGGCAATAGGCTCACGCCCCTCAGGGACTCATAACATAAATAGTGAAAAGTGGGTGTTAAATTGTGCAGTGACATTAAGTGCACCTCTGCCTACCCCACGGGGATACATATTACTCTGACGACAGTAGTTCAATAAAAGGAGGATAATTAGTCCAAAAACTGAATAATTACCCATAGGAACAGTCCTGGAGAACTTGTCGTGGTTCTTCATGAGGCACTCTCGCGAGGCTTCCAGGACCGCCATGAAGTAGCCGCGCTCATTCACACCGTCTGAGTACAGGCCCACTAGACCTTCCAATGTCGGGAAACCGTAGCCGTCCACCTGGAAATATAATAAAAGGAAAATTGTTTACCGTGTCTTTTTAGTTTGTGATCGCTAGAGTGACGATCTAAGGTCGTGTTATTATAAAAATATAGTTTTAATTCTGAATAGTGTGTAACCTATTTTGCGGTGGTATTTTAGTTCATTTGAGATGAAGACAAATTGAAGGTAATCATTATTTCATTCTATTTTTATTGGTATTCTAGTGTAATATAACTAAATGCTACTTTAGTATATATTATACAGGACTCATATTAAAGAACTACTTGTAATAAGGGTTGTAAGAAAGATTTATTAGCATCGTTTTCCTTCTCATAAAGCCGAATTAAAAAATCCCAAGTAAAGCCTAGTCCACTTAAGCAATAAAATTACAATTATTACTGGAAGGATAAAAATAACATTTATTGAAACCAATCCACGGCGAGTCATTCGAATGTTTATTGTGTACGCCTAACTAGTGTAATTCTTGCAATAAAATATTTCATACAAAAGAAATTTATATGGAAAAAAGGTATGACAAGCAGATACTGATGGGCTCGAAGCCGACAATTAAATTCAATACCGACTTTTGAACATAACACAAATAAAATACAAATTACTGCGTGTCCCGAAGGTTTTTATGGGCGTAATATTCTTGTTCAAAGGATTTCAAGTATAATAAATAAGCTACGAATTTTTCTTTTTCAGATTTACGACTTTACCCTCATGTTTTATAGTTAACAAATTGGAGCAATCAGTTCGTGACAGAAACTATAAAGCATTAAAACTCGATTTAAAAATTATTTTATTTTTCTTTACGAGTAGGGTTGACCTCGGAGGTAATGGGAATAGCCGCCTAACTTAACATTAACCACAGATTTTATATTTTTTAATTTATTTCCCTTCATTATGTTCTATTTAATTTACTGGTGGTTCAACGTGTTCGGCATGAGCACTGGGTGCTTTATGTTTCTGGCTTTTAATGGCTTGACTTGATGGTAACTAATTATTACGTATTCCACTTAATACGTTTTACATTGTTGGGCCAGTTTTTGCTGCGTTGTACTTTTAAATTGTTTATTTTCTTGACCCTGTTTCCAATATAGAATAACCCTTTGGTATAATATAACACCACGCCTTTTACCCGCGACGAGGTTGGCAGAGGTGCACATTTCGGCACTTAATGCCACTGTATAATGTAACACCGTTACGTTACGTTACGAGTCCCATGTAATAGGGGGCGAGGATAATATCGTATACCCAAAGTTATTCTTTTGATCAACACTTATTACTAAGCATGCTTAAATAATAGTGTAGCTTAGCACAATACTGAAATATATTGAAAATAAGTAAACTCAATTAGATAAGTACCTATATCTTTATCACAGAAACATTAAAACATATTGTATCTATGTGTTTTACAGAAATTAAGGATCAAACTCTTTTATCGTCACGACCAATGGATTAAAGGTCATGTTTAATAGTAAGCAAAGAAGTTGAACATGTCACCTCTTCCATCGAAGTGTTCCCTAAACCTAGAATCCACGACGAACAATATAAGTTTTCTCTTGACGACTAGACGAGTTAGCTAAATAAAAACTATAATGGCGTAACAGAAAGTTCAATAGATCGGTAGTTGCTCTAGAAAAAGTGATGTGTCTAGGGTTGCACAGTGCAATATGCATCGGATTTCATCACTGTTTCTGGGAATCAGGTGTGAAAATTAGGACTGGTCTATGTTAATTTATAAATTCCTTTTCTTATACTTTTTGTCCTTTTATGAATTCGTTATGTAATCATTGTGAGGTGATAGGAACATAAGATTCTCTTTTCAGCTGATTAATTGTTTAAAAAAGTTCATTAGTCTTTGATATAAATGCAATATTTCATTGCAAACCGGAGTACTGATAGAAGTAGAGTAGAGAAGGCATAACTAGATTAAAATTCGCAGTTTATTAATCTTCCCCTAATATGCTACCTAACACTAAATACAATTCTTTTATCTCTCAAAAAGGCAACGTATTTTAACTTCGAGTAGATAGTGAATCCAATGGCTCCAATTTTTGCATAGGTACTGTACAGCCCTACGTATGATTCAGTAGGCTGGTTGTAAACGAGTTAGCAGTTAGATAAATAGAACAGTAGTTTACACTACTGTGCAATAGGACAGTGGGTTAATACTCACAGCTTTCACTTTCCGGTAGACACACTGCAGCAAACACTGGAATTGAGAAGTATAAACCATTAGTTACATACACAGAGTAAATAAGAGTTATATGGTTTTATTGGACCTTTGGTAACGAAACACAATACAAGGATGTTTTACCCGGGGCTGTGGAGTGGGAACGGGGTGGTTTTTAGTCAGTGAGAGTCTGATACTCTCTTTCGGTTTACGCAGGATTAGGTATAGAGTTATTTGATGATTTCCCTTACTCAAAAAAAAAAAATTGTTTCACGCTGGTTTTCTGTGATCGCTCGGGTCGAGCCGGCCCATGTGTGTCTAAACATACTTCTCCCACATGAAAAAGTAAAAAGTCATACCTAGCTATTAAAATAAAAGATTGCACTATAACTGTACAATTGCGTATAAGTTTTAAAAACAAACGACGAGCAGTATTCGGACCCACGGTTCCCGACCCTACTATTAAAAATACACAATCATGCAAATTAAATCCCTATAAAGTAAAAATGTATAATTAAATGTGTGTTTGTTATGTTTCGAGTTCATAACGACTATACATGAACTCATCTACACAGATTAATAAAATTGGAGTGTCTGTTTGTAATATTAAAATAACAGTTTTTTACTAATCGATACCTTTGCCGTTTTTTACTTTTGTATATGTACATGTAGTAAAAAGCGGAATAGGTATCGTATGTATATTTATGTAATCTTTTTTTATTTTTGTCTGTCTGTCTGTCTATTTGTACTGGCTAATCTCTGAAATGGCTGGACCGATTTTGACGGGAGTTACTTTACTGGCAGATAGCTGATATACTAAGGAGTAACATAGGCTATTTTTATTTTGAAAAGTTGAAACAAACAAAAGTTATGTCATTAAACTCATATTTTACGCGGACGAAGTCGCGGGCAACAGATAGTAACTTATACACATCAATATACAGCTGCAGTGCAAGTGGTTCAAGTGAATATCAAAAACTGCATCGTTTTGGTCGTAAACAGGTATTGGTTTATAAAAGAGAAAATAAATACTCTCATTAAAATCCGTTCACTTATTGTTTATTTCCGTTCATAGCAAGTCTTGGAAGGACGGAAGCCGTTTTGTTGCACGTCGAATAAAACCTTATTTTAGGAATCAGTTTTTATAAACTTTACTAACTAGCCTGCGACTTCTTTGCGTACAAGGGATATTCATTTTTACCGAGTCCGTGGGATTATAGGGAAATTAACTTTTAGTGCTCAAGTGTGGGTACCAAAGGAACATCATAATATGTATACATATCAAGTTTCAGTTTTTGTGGATGCCAAGTATGTGTAATTTTTTAAGACTTAATGAAATAACTTAATGCGGACGTATTCTTTGACACCTAATTGATGGTAATTTTTCTAGTTTTCTTTTCTAATTAATAAATGTCTACTTGTTTAGACAAGTCATAAGATACCTATATGTATTCAACCCTGATACTCTTTGGCGACTTATCTCTTGTGGTTTAATGATAGATGGGTTAAGGTTAAGGAACTTACCCCAGCAATTCTCTTCTCGTCATGCGTGAAAGGCACCTCTCTCTTGTCGCGCCGTCTCTGTGCAGGCATCGTGTGCTCTTCTTTGATCACGTCCAACGCCTCTGAAATAGCACATAAAGAGATTTGTTAGTTAAAATATACTACATGTGATGGATGAAACAGTTAAGTAACTTTTAAAGACTGTTGAAGAAGTGAAAGAGGTATGTAAAAATCGTATCTTTCTTTTCTTTCATAACTTTTATAGGATCATCAGATTGATTTCAGTAGGTACTCCTTGATCTAATGGCAATAAAACCAGTTCAGTCTGTCCTTTCTAAAAGTTTCTTAAATATATATGTAGACAAAATATTTTTAAGGAAACTAATTTTTTTTTTTTTTTTTAATTCTAATTTATTATATATACAATTAATATTAACTATAACTAAATGAAAATATATACAACTTAAAATATAAATAACTATGAACTAAAATATTTACACCTTAAAAAAAAGGTAATAATAAATAAATAAGCGATAATAAGGCATCAAAAAAAAATTTTTCCTCATCATTATCGTGAATTATTTATTTATTTTCTTTATCTTTTTGGTCTATGTCAAGCACAACAGCAAGTGCGGACTGTGGTGTATTCGGTAGTCACCCTTCGGCGTCGCAGCTTTCTTTGGAAAGATGCCCGCTATGTTCCCAGGCTCGCTATTTTAAAGGTAAGCGAGGGCTGAATGTACACATTGGACGTGTTCACAAATCTCAAAGTACATTCAGCCCCGTTACCGATACTACTCCTCTTATTTCGACAGATCCCTTTTGGAAAAGATTATCAAAATTTAAAAAATCTATCCCTGTACTTAAACGAGTTCCCCGTGGTGCCAGACCTTTAGTTGCGCAACAGTTAGCAAATTGTGTCCGTCTGGCAGCACAGGAGAACTCGTTACGCGCCTGGGAACAACTCCTCACCTTCCCTTACCAAATCTTACATGTTAAAAAGAATTTGGCTTTTCAAAATTCCTTAACAAAACAAATCAAAGAAAATTGCATTTCGGCTTCCCAATTCGACCCAAAATTACCGGCTTGCAGTTATGCCTCAACCAAAACTTTAGCTGATTTAGTTGAGACCAAAATAGGTGAAGGTGATATTAGCGGCGCAGCCAGAATTATTTTTAGCAATGACGTACTGGCTCCATGTTCTCCAGATACACTTAAAGCTCTGGAGAGCAAACACCCGGCCCCAGTAGATGGTCTCTCTTTTCCGGATCCTCCAGAAGCAGATATTCATACCCTATCTGTTACAGGTCGACAAGTGGTCACTGCCATAGGCTCCTTCCGGAGCGGTTCTGCCGGAGGCCTCGACGGTTTGACGCCGCAGCATCTCAAAGATCTGACGAGCTCAAGCGCCGGGGAGTCCGGCGTGACGCTGCTGAAGGAGCTTACGGTTTTGATCAATCTTATGCTCTCCGGCAATGTGCACGAATCCGTCATCGACGTTTTGTACGGGGCCAATCTATGTGCCCTACGCAAGAAGGATGGCGGTATTCGTCCCATTGCCGTGGGAACAACTTATCGTCGCATGGCAGCCAAGATTTGTTGCAAATTTTATAATAATCTTCTTTCGGAAAAATTCCAGCCCCTTCAACTCGGGTATGGATCTAGAGGGGGCTGCGAGGCTGCCGTGCATGCGTTGTCGACCTACCTGAATTCCAGGAAAGGTGATATCATCCTGAAGGTTGACATTAAGAATGCTTTTAATTCGGTCAATAGGGATACTCTGTTGACAGAAGTTAAAAAGGAAGTACCCCAAATTTTTAGTTTTCTCTGGCAATGTTATAGACACCCTACAAAATTATTATATCAGGACAACCTTTTGGAATCAGCCGTTGGCTGTCAACAAGGCGATCCCCTTGGGCCAGTGATTTTTAGCCTGGCCATTAATCCTATTATACGACAGCTAAATTCTAAATTTAATGTGTGGTACCTCGATGACGGTACCCTGGGAGGCGATGCAGATACAGTTTTAAATGATTTCCAATTTTTAAAAAACGAACTTCATGCTATTGGCCTTGACCTAAATTATTCCAAGTGTGAGATATTTTTACATGACTCTACCGACAGACAGATCATATCAAAATTTACTACTTTTGCGCCTAATATCTCGGTTGTCGATAAATGTTCGCTTCGCCTCCTAGGTGCGCCCGTCTTCGAGGACTCTTTTCAAAGTTTTATTGATGAAAAAATTCAAAATTTTTCTGTCGTTTCAGAAAGACTGTATCACATTAGAATGCATTCGGCCTATACTATTATTCGTTTTTGTTGTTTTGGTCCCAAATTTATGTATTTTTTGCGCTCGACCCACCTCTGGTCTGCACCCCTTCTTTTAGAAAAAATTGACCGAAGCATTAGACAAACTTTATCCTTAATTTTGAATGTGGCTCTCGACGACCGAGCCTGGACACAAGCTACTCTGCCTGTCCGCATGGGTGGGCTTGGCGTCCGTAAAATTTCCAGTGTAAGCCTACCAGCTTTCATATCTTCCGCCCATGGTACTGAAGAATTAACCAGGAAAATTCTTTCTCAATCACTGGTTAATTTTGATGTACCATTTTTAGTGGAAGCTGTGAAAGCTTGGAAAATCGCTTGCCCAAATATTGACCCCCCCGTCAAATCACTCTCCCAGAGACAATGGGACGAGCCGCTCTGCAGGAAAGTGAGCGAAAATCTATTGAACTCCGCTTGTTCAACTGCAGAGCGAGCTCGCCTTTTGGCTGTGGGTGAGTGGGAGTCAGGGTTATGGCTTCTTGCTTTGCCTTCGTCCAACTTAGGTACTTTGTTGGACGACACCACATTCCGCGCTGAAATTTGTTTAAGGCTTGGGGCTTCATTTTGTTCAACTCATCGTTGTCGTTGTGGTGAAGATGTCAACAGCCTTGGACACCACGGCTTGTCGTGTAGCCGTAGTGCGGGTCGTTTTGCTCGACACGCGAGTATTAATGACATAATTCGTCGAGCTCTTGTCTCCGTTGGCGTGCCAGCTACTTTAGAACCTAATGGCTTGGTACGCAACGATGGCAAGAGACCCGACGGTATGTCATTATTCCCTTGGAAGATGGGTAGGCCTATAGTATGGGACGCCACTTGCGTTGATACTCTGGCGCCATCCCATCTTCCAAACTCAGCGTGTCGAGCCGGTGCTGCCGCTGCTGCTGCCGAGAACCACAAACGGCGAAAGTATGATAGCCTGATTGGCAATTATGCTTTCGAACCGTTTGGGGTTGAAACTTTAGGGCCGTGGGGCCCAAGTGCACATCTTCTTTACAAAGATATTGTAAACAGGATGGTTGACACTTCAGGTGATCGAAGGGCTGGCTTCTACCTTGGACAAAGGTTAAGCATTGCCTTCAACGTGGTAATGCTGCCAGTCTTTTGGGCACCCTACCTCACGATAATGATGAGGAAACTAATTTAATTGTGAAATTTAATTCGTTGCTTAACATTGGTGTATTGACCAATCATTAATGATTATCTTGTAGAATCTTCTTTCTGTTCAGAACTATCAGACCACCGTGCACAAATGTGCAAAGTAAATACTTTAGGCATATTAAAAAAAATTAATGTACTTAAATAATATCTCGAATCTGTTGTGAATGCAACGTAGCTTACATTTTTGAGAATATGTGTTTTTACCCCTTGTCTATCGATATATGAGACACAATAGAAAACAAATTATGTCTCGCGTAGATATTCTACGACATACCAGAGCAGACGTTAATCTTCAGTGTCAGGTTAATTTACAGTGCCTATGTATGTACAATTATAATCTTGTATGAATAGGTATTGATTGACTAGAAATTATAAGTTACTCACGTAAATATACTGAGTTAACTTAATAGGTACGATTTTTAACTTCTTCCTATTAGTGGTTGGGTAACCTATGAGTAGATACTAATAATAGTTATATTATGCTATTTAGTTGTTACTTTTTGTTTTAAGTTTAAAGATGGGTAAACTAAATAAATAGTACATTTTAGGAACATCTTTTAATAACTGCTTCGTTACTATGCATCTGCCATTTTGACTTTACATCTGGGGCAGGTCAAACATGTGAATACCACATCGCATGTCTAGATTAAGAGATTGAAATGTCACTAAACGCATCTTGCTTCATAAGGAAGGTCCATAATCGTAGAAACTGGTAATTTGTTGCGTTAGTATTGAAGCGGATCGTATGTAGGCCAGGCAGGTCACGATTCGAACCGACGCTTACTTTCGATAGGTATCAAGTACTTTAGATAATTCTGGATACAGATTTGAGGGCTTTTGGTTAAACAAAACAAAAAAAAACTGAATAAAGAAAACAGTTAAACAAAAACTAATGCTATATGCAGGTTTGATTTAGTACTGTTTACAGATAATATAAAAAATTGGTAGACGAATGACGATAATATGTCTGATCTTAATACTTCCATTAGCAGGCACATCTAAAAACCAGACAATATTTCTGAAATTAATGCGTTTATCTAACTCTTCAGCTTTATTATATACCATTAGCTAAAGTAAGTATACTAACATCTACAGAGGTTACATCAAAATTGATGCAGCAATATAAACGTGAAGAACAAACATAATTAACTAGGGCGTTGGGACATAACTTATTGTATCTATTAGGTACGGTACTTTAAACATATTTAATCTTGTGAAAGGACATAAGTACATACAATACATACATAATCTTACACCTGTCTCTCATGGGGTAAGGCAGATACTATGAAACACTAATATGCTATACGATTCTTACATACTTAAGTACCATTTTCGCTTCATCAACAGTCATTAGTCTTTTTATGTATGCTCGTCGGTTAAGGGTATTTTTAATTTAGCCTTTCTTTATATCACCAATCTGGTCGATATAATATGTCCATCTAGGGTGCCTTCTACCGACACGGTCCCATTCATATCTGCTCTGTATACTTTTTTTGTAACTTTGATATCATGCATCCTTTTTACGTAATAAAAATATATAAATCATTATGTTTTCTGCTTACTCACGTAATTATTAGACGAGGAACTCGACTAGTTTCAAGCCATGCTAGAGGCTCATATTTATGAGCAGCAT